CTTATTGTTTCTACTAGCTTCTTGTTACTACTAGTAAGGCACTTGTTACTAGTAGCGATGCACTTGTTACTAGTAGCTTATTGTTACTAATAGCTTCTTGTTACTATTAGTAAGGCACTTGTTACTAGTAGCGATGCACTTGTTCCTAGTAGCTTTCATTGTTTCTATTGATGTCAGCCTGCACTCAAGCATCGCTCTTCATCTCAAGCATCTCAACTATCGACTATCACGGCATCACACAGGCATCATCAGCTGAAATATGGAAATATGTTCGAAACTCGCATCACGGAACGTCGACGGAAGGCCAAGAGATGCCAAGGGGCACAATGAAGACGTCCAACCTCAACGTGCTCCATGCACCAGAGCATTTCAGTTCTCAGGTTTTTTTGAGGTCCGAGTTGTCTACAAAAGACATTCAACATTCCAATTCTAAGCGCCACACCAGTTCCACATCCAGTCATCTGTGCAGAAGAACGCTCGTCCAACAGCTGTCACTCTCATTAACAGCTCCACGGTGAAGATCAAGCCGTAGGAATGGCGAATCACCTGCAAGGATCGATTTGAGAAAAACGATCGATTTGAGAACCTGCTTGGTTGCGGTTGGAGACCATCGCCAGTAGGTTGGAGACCAACGCTAGTAGGCAAGTCACACTTTCTTTGAGAACCTTTGAGAATCCTGTGGCTGTGGGGGTAAAGGCCCAGCATGTTCAATTCCAAAGGACAGGTGTGCCAGTGTGCGGCTCCTTTGAAAGCTACTTCGTTGCGGTTGGAAAGCTTTTGGGTTCAAACTGGTTTGTGTTGTGTTCTACCTCCTGTGGCATCAACGCCCTCCAAACACGTTTCGTTTGCAACAAGTCATGACACTGGAAGCTGTGCTAATTCCCTGTCAGTGCAACCTTGCACGATGACTTGTTCTGTTGTGAAGCGCGCACATCGAACAACAGAGCATTTCAACAATGAAACAAGGCAAATACAGATTGGAGGCCATCGCTATCATTTCACCAATCTTCCACATGTCTGACTCCCCCACAACGTGCGGTGACTTGGCCCTTTCTTTGTCCAATCTTCTACATGCGTTTCCCTCACCGTGTGTCTTGCAGTGCAATTTAGCGGGACTTACCTATTTCTTTGGCCAAGTTCATCATGTCTCTTCCCACAGTGTGCAATTTAGTCCAACTTAGCTCTTCCTTGGTCCAGTCTTCTGCATACGTTTCCTCACAGCATAATTTTGTGGAACCTATATAGCTATTTGTTTGTCTAATGTTTATCATGTTTCTTCCCACCCGAATGCAATTTAGTGCAACTTACGTAGCAGTTTGTTTCTTCAATCTTCCACATGTTTTCCCCACCCGGTGTGCCATTCAGTTCAAATTAGCATGCCTGTGTCCAGTGTCCATCGTGTTCTGAATTCTACTTATTTGTCCAGCGTGTGTTTTTTGGTTGATATGTGTATATGTAACGGTGATATTATATATGTTGACCCTTAGGGTTAGTAGATATCATTGCCCCCATTACCATTCTCACCTGCCTTTCTTCCCAACCGTGTTTTCTGATCCCTCCATTGTCTACCCTTCTTGCTTCTCGGAGATAGGGAAATGCACTGGAAGCTCTCAATGACATATGTTCAGCTGGGTTTTTGTTCAGGTCTCAGCAGAAGCCAGCACCTCAAAAGAAACAACTCTCAGAAGCCATTCTAAGATAAGGTTGCTGACACAACATCGGCCAAAAGCCACATTTATTCAATTCAGCGCACTATAGTCACTATCACTATATTGTGCAATATATATCTGGCAGGGCATGTGTTGGGGGGAGTGGGGTTTGGGGGGAGCGTCGCATCGTTCTCTGAATTAGGTTGGAGGCCATCGCTAATTAGAGGTAAGTATAAAAGAAAAGGAAGGAAAGGTCTAATGTCTAATATCCAACATCGAAGACTAAGTCCTGTCTGCTCCTAACCGATTCTGTGGGTGGTTCCGCTTTGAGAAAAAGAACGTGTGCAATTCGCGTCCAGACAATGATATTCACGTTCAATGACTCTATTGATTATTACTGCATGTACCGGATATAGAGGTGTACTCTCAACATCACTAGCCTGGTCTCATTATCAAACACCGTTGATTTAAAATTGATGTTGCAGCTCCAACCGATAGCTTGTTCCATGAAACAGCCACAGAACACCGGCAAACCTTCAAAGTGCCAAGTGACTGTGATGGCTAGAGGATCATGTCCGGCTGTGCTGTAGCTCACCTTCACAGGGAGTAAGCACCCTGCCCGTGTCCAAAAGGTGCAGCCACAAGCGTGTCGAATTTGCAAGTCTCAAAGAAGAACAACAGGGTCAATTGCCAATACTACTTCAATTCTGTTTGCCATTCTTTCTGTCCTCGATTCCAATGAAAATGGAGTTCGTGACGACGATGCAGGCCTGATATCCCACTTCTCGTGGGATTGGGAATTGGAAATTAATGCTGCTATAGGAGGAAATTAATGCTGCTATAGGAGGCTACAGGCTGAGGGAACCAAAGGAGCAATCCGAAATCCAATGCAAATGAATACCTTCCGGCGAAAGACCCCCAAAAGCAAGGCCACCACGGGATCAACTCCAAACAAACAGCAACAGATGCCCTGACAGGTTGGTAAAGCATCTGTACTCTGGACTCCGGACTGGATCTTACGAGGAAACCTTGTAGTCTCATCAAAGGTTCTGACAGGAACGCAAAACGGCCACCGCCGCCACCAACAGCCAGCTAGTATATAAAAACAAGAGCACTTTTCATCACAGCAAAAAGGATTCTGCCAAGGTGCAAAGAAAATGTCGAACCAGGGATGGCTCGTGAGCTTCCCAATACAATCTCAGCATTCAGCTTTGGTCATTGGACTTCGAGCGAGAATCTCTGCACAGTGACGCAGTGCTCCCAAAGACAAGTCTACTTGTTTGCTGCCCGCTCCTACTTCATTAAGTGCGATTGTCATGTGGAACATCTCTTGTCCACGCACGGATGATCAAAGCCTTTGGACACCTGGCCCACTTCAGCTGGAAAACAGAAATGATTCTATGACCGGAAATGATTGCAACGAACAGCCCCAGCGCGGTTGATAGGTGTTGTCTATCACCCAGTGCACCCCGTGTCCCTCTTATCATGTGATATCATATGCACTTAATATGCACCATGGACCATGCTTGATATATTGGGGCCCGGCATCGGTCCCACAAAGAAAAATGGATGACAAGGCCCAAGGCGCTGCCATGGCTAGGCATGGAATGAGAGCTTTGCTGCCGTTTTTTCCTGGAACATGATACATGGCCAGCCCCACTCATGCCAAGACTTGTGGCTACTTCAGTCGCACTCTTCTGAATGTTCATGAAGTGGCCACATACACTTATGCTCCTAAAACTTGCAAGCTCTGCTTCTCTCACTGGTCCTGTTTGCAGCTTCGGCCTCATCAACATTCGCAGCGCCCTCTTTGAGGCCAGCATCAATGGATTCAAAAGTTCCTGAGTTTATCATGTGCAACTTGGCCTCAAGAAAGATTCTCAAGTCTTTGACAATCGAAGCCCAGTCAACCAAGTCAATGTCAACCATTACATGAACCAATCTGCACAAACATGCAACGCCAATGTCATCACAACAAGAAATGAAAAGAGCTCCACTTCTGAACTCAAACAGCAACAGCATAGCTTGTTCCGACGCAAATGTGCCAAGAGACTAAAAACCTTCTCCCAGCTATCTTCAACTTCCTTCTCCTGGTTTGAACATTTATGCAGTTGTGACGAGTTTAGATGTTTTTTGTGGAGCGAGATCTTGCTCTCGTGCTGCTGGAAGCAGCTAGTGTGATGGGTGGATGAGCTACGAAACTGATGCATCATGGCTGCCATGAGCATCATCCAACGTGCCCCGACTGCCACAGCCCAATTTTTGAGATCGAGCTCTCCCGAAGAGCTAAAAATGTCAATCAATGTGGTCGTGATCCGACCCGACTGAAGCAAATCTCCTGTTGATTGAACGGATTGGTGAATGAATGATGAAATCTTGCATCAAACCCTTCGCATACGTTTGGAAAATTCATGGGGTCGAGCAAAAGCACTACATCAGAAAACGACGTGTTGCCATGTGGCAACCTCAAACGAATTTGATGCCTGGGTAATTTCCTGGCACCACTTAGCAAGACTTGGCATCTGAAATCATCTCACCAGCTGGTCCGACATCCATCAGCTGCTTTTGCCCTGGTCCGGCGCAATCTGGCAGCTGCCAAAGCTGCCAGTGATCTTTGCCAGCGCTCACTGCCAGGGATCATTTTGCACTTTGGAGTTGGGGTGGCAGGGCAGACTCAATAGTGTCTCGCAGCTTCTGCAACAGAACATCATCCTTCAGCACAGGCTGCACAGGCTTAAAATGGCTCTAAAGAGGTGGACCTCTAAGCACATCGCTACAAGTAGTGTCTGCGAGCATCCTTGCAGCTACGAGGTGCCCCTACATTGTCAAATTAATAGATGTTCAGACAGTAGGTATCTATGATCGCCTACCGGTCCTGGTGTTTGTCATTCTAAGTTCAGCCCAGGTTGCTGGCGTGTCTTCCACCTCTTGCACTGGCACTTTGGGATGCACAATGATTTTCACCCCAGCATTGTTCTGGTAGAGGAGGTACTCCTGGTCTTTATGTGAGACACTTCCAACGAGGTGCATCCACCATCTTAGGACAAACGACTAGGTCATCAAGCACAGTTAGAATCAGTTAGAATCTCAAATCTTAGCTGCCTTAGCTTGAGTGTTGACTGGCTGGCGGAACCGGCGAAAACTGGTGGGACGCCGCGACAACCGGCGGGGAACCAGGTCGGTCCTTCTTGCTGGGCATAATTCGCCCGGTGCCCAGGATGGTCATCGGCACAATGGGGACCTTTGCCCTTTTGGCCATCGACACTGGGCCACGCTTGAAGGGCAAGAGCCGGCCATCGCTACTGCGTGTGCCCTCGGGAAAAACAAAAAGGGAGTTGCCGTCCTCAGCTTCAGGCCCCAGAATGTGACACAACTGTCAACAAGTCGGGTTGTCTCATGTTGTCTCTTTCTTTCATTTTGTCCGGGATTTGCGTCCAAAGTCTGGGCCCTCAAGGCTCCTACTTCTATCATCTGTGTCCTTCTTTAATCATCCAATGAGCATTTTGAAGACCACCAACCATTCACAACCCAAACAAGAACCATCCAAGATCAACCAAGCAAGACCCATCAAAGAGGTTCTTACTTCAAAAATCCAAGCATCCTTTAATGCATCGACCGAGTCCCGGAAGGTTTTCAGCTGAGACTTGCGATCCTCACGTTCGATGGTGATGGTTTTGGCTCGCCTCATGACCCAACCAATCAACGGGAACTTGAGGATCGATGCCTTGGAGATGAACTTGAAGGGCTTGAACAACCTCAAGTCGACTCACAACTTGAAGGGCTTGACCAAGTTCGATTCTTGTCCAACGTTCACTCAACTGATGCTGCATCCATGCTTGGAGACCCAGTGGTTCACTTCACATCTTTCGATTCACACGGGACATGGGAAGGTCAACATTATATCATAGAAATGCGGGCTGGATCTATACATAGATTTGAAGAAAAAACACAGGGGGGCCGTTGCTATTAGGTTGGAGGACATCACGTTTACAGATTTGAAGAAAAAACAGGGGTTGCATGCAAAAACTTACAGCAAAGAACTCCGAAAGACTGGTATGCTGACAGGATGTCCATGAAAGACTGGTGATTCGCCACATAGACACATGCCTCGTCATCAGGCAGGTTCTCTTTGCCCGTGATCGTCACCCGGAAGAAGGGTGATATTGTCATCTTCGCCCACGCACAAAGGATGAGATCCACCCACTTTCGCCTCCGATCCTGTCGGCTGGATTTCTCACAGTGCAATGCATCGTGACCTCGCACAGAACATAATTATTGAGGCCTGAGAGCGATGGCCTGCAACCTAAGAGCAATGGCCTCCAACCCAACGTGCCTTCTTCACCAGCAGGCCGAAACAAATGGCCGGAGCCGCTACGAAAGTGCCAACGACAGCTATCACAGAGGCCATGAGCAGCACGCGCAGCACGGCCAAGGGTGTGTGCCCAACCATCCGCTTGCTCCTCACTTTCGAGATGTCAAATAGTGCGGATAGTGCACTGAGGGAAAACTAAACAAAGTCCGTCATTCATATTTCAAGTGTTACTGGGGAATATCTAAGCTGCGCTCTTCCAGTTTTGCGCAATGAAGTTCATCGAATGAGCTTGCCTAGGACAAAAAGACACATAATCTATGTCGCAGTAGCCAGTAGTGGAGTCCAATCTCCCAGCACATGGAGGCGAATATTTCACTATATAGGCCTTCGGATTCAGGTCATGTATTCATAATTGCCATGCGCAATTCTGAATTAGGGTGGAAACCAGTGCACCGTCGCCAAGTCTTTGGCGAAGCATCGGTGGGACATATCGGTCCAAACTCTTGGCCCTGGCCAATACAGCGGGGCTGCGGACCGGCGCCGCAGGAATGCGAGGTGCAAGGAAAGCCAACCCGAGCCATAGGCTCAGCCATAGGCATATCAACTTCACAGAACGCATGGAGCGTACTGAGCCCATGGCGCAAGATGCCGTAAGTAGCTTTGGTTGAGTTTGGCATGACTTGGAAATTGCGCATGAATAAAAACTATATATATATGTATATATTCATATAGTGTAACATGTTTGTCATGGGTGGGTTTGTTGAAGGTCCATTGTCTGCTGTGGGAAGCCACTTCAAAACAAACGCTGGCGGCAGGACAATGCAACTCAGTAACAGTATTGGACATGTGTATCCAAGTTACGCACCCTTCCCAGGTTCTTCTCCACGTGCACATGTTGATCACGCACTACCATTCGCAAATAAAATCAAAAAGAAACGTGTATATATATATATACATTATCACTTATCATGCATACACATGCCATCATATGATAGTCCCTGACACTCCACAACAGTGCAACTACAGACACACCAATGCCCGGCCAAACTTGCCGGGTCTTGAAAGTGTGTTACTTCTTGAAGGTGGCTGCTGGATTGCTTGCCCTGTGTGTGTGTGTCTGTCTGTCTGTCTCTCTCTCTGTCTCTGTCTCTTTCTCTTCCCACCTTCAATTTGCAAGCATTTATATAAGTCCTTTAACCCCTCCATGCCCCAGAAACCTCCAATTGGTCGTTCTTCTCTTCCTTCAGCTGGTCCTCCTCTTGGCGGCAAGTCCTGTGCGATATGAAGGTGCAAAGAAAGCAAAAACCCTGACGCGCCTAATAGCGATGGCCTCCACCCTAGTGGCCCTAGTAGCGATGGCCTCCAACCTACTAGCGCTGGCCTCCGAGGCTTGCTTGTGCAACCCCTTGCGAATCAAAGCATGGTCGTCTTGTAGGCGAGAACACTGCTCACAATCAATCCCACAAGCGGGTGCCCTGACATTGGGGTTACCCCGTCGGCCCCTTCACCCACACCGCTGGAGTGACTGTGGGTCCGCTACACCTTCCTATAGCCTGTGGCGAATAGATGAGCAGGTCTCACAGCCAAACAAGCAACACGGCCAAGGGCCAGAAAACCGGGAGCTCCACCAGCCACAAAGGTAAAGCTGAATTGTGACTGAACACAAGATGAATAGATGAAGAACTGGAGGCTACCAACTTGTGCCCTCTGGGACAACTGCTGTCCTGCTTAACCCTAGTTGAGTTCTGGAGCAATCCCACTTGCAAGCACAACTTGCCAACAACATGCCGAGCAAAAGGGGAGAGAAGCAAACACGTCCCCGATCGCAAAATAAGGAATTGATGCGCTTGAACACAGTGCCCATGTACAAATCAACCGTCTTGTGAAGCTTAATGATGGCTCTACGCTTAGAAGAGAGGAGATGGTTATGTGGGATTGCCTCCAATTTCACGCGAAATGATGTCCAATTCCATTACCCCAACCCCCAGCCACCGCTAATAGCAAAAGGCCCAGAAAAAATTAGCTCTTTTCTGGACGCCACCTCTTGGAAAAGATGAACCTATACCGGTATAGGTACACAATGCCATTGGAAGTAAGTTCAAGCCGAAACTCATCAACCGCTCCTGTCGACCGCCATTTCCTTTAAGAGCGACTCTTGCCAATCCAGTCTTTTAACGACCTGGTTCGAAACGTGTCAGGCCTTGCATTCTACAATATGGCCTCTAACCTAATAGCGATGGACGATGGCCTCCAATGTGGCTGAGCTTGAAAACCCTTGATAGTGCAATTGATGCATGCATGAACTTGGGTCTGCGATCTAGCATGGACAGCACGATGGTCCCTCTACATAGAATAGAAAGACCCGGTTCCTAGCGCAATGGTGTCACAAAGATCGATTCAAGGCTGCCAGATGTTGCCGAAAAAATGTCCGCTTTGGCTTTCAGCATGCTTTTTTTGCAAAGAATGTGGTGCCTCGTTATGCTGGCGCTTTAGGAGGTCAAGAATCTCCTCAGCCATATCCATGGTGGAGGAACGCACGCCTGCGATATGCAACAAACGAGGACAAAGCTTCCCTCAAACAAATAAGAGAGACAAATAGCTAAATTTAAAAGTATCTATCTATATAATTAATATATAATATATATAGTATATATAATATAATAATATATATATATTATATATAACGCAGCGATACAAAGACGCGCGTGAATGGCAGGTCGAATTCTGAAGGGGCGTGGTGCCAGCTTGACACAACTTCATCTCCGCCTTTGATGGCCACGTCCAGGGTCTCTCCGGTTTCGTTCTTCCAGAGGTGTCCTTCCAAAAAAAGAGGCATACAGTGGATCATCCAACATCCAAGTGGAACTCAGCGAATAGGTGTTATCAAAAAGCCAAATTGTTTTAAACCAAGTGTCAAGATGCAATTGCAATACAACCTCCAGACATGAAAAAAAAATGGGTGGTCTCTAAAAGATGGGAGACACAAAAAATTGGTTTGCAGGCCATTGCTATTAGAAACCAAGAAAAAGGCAGTTGCAGAAAGGTCCAATATATTTGCTATTAGGAGCAAGGACGCTACTAGGGGCTCCTGGCCTGACTACTAGGAGCAATGTTCGCTACTAGGGGCTCTTGGCATCGCTACTAGTAACAAGGACGCTACCAGTTCGCAATTAGGTTGGAGACAAGTGTAACTCAAAGCACTCCATGCGTCCTGGTCGGATTGTTGGGCTCTGTTGAGGCCGCTCCACCTCAAATGATTCCTGGCGTACATTTCAGGCTCTTCAATCCAAGGGCCTTTAGCAAATGGGGTCGGTCCCTGCAAAACCTCTTAATTGAACTGGCTGTATCTGGTATTGTCTCTGGTATGGTTTCCCGCGGTAGCTATTGCTGTGGCATCGCAGTCGCCATTCCGCATCCTCCTCCTTCCTCACACTTCAACCTCAACGTCCTTCTGCTTGTTATTGTCATCACCCTCATCACCACCAGTCACATGATGTACAAAGCTCTGTCAGGAAAAGCTGCTTACACGGCAGGATTTCCTGAAGTTGCCATATGTGCAAACGTTAAGACTTTCCGGTGAGCCTCTTGGTGAGCATGTTTTTGTAAACGGTTTGCCTCTGCAAACACACTAGACGTTTCGTTATACACTAGGTCAATACAAAGGGATTTCCAGTCAAAAGATTTCAGTCAATGCTCCCAATATCACCCAACACGCTTTCCGAAACAACATCGACAAGGATCGTGAAAAAGGAAGAAAGAAAGGTCCAATGAAGCAAAATTCCGGTTTATTCTGCTCAACTTCACGAAGAGTTTCACCCTGTTTGCCTGAAGTTTACCCTGCCTCGACAGGTTGAACGGCCAAGTCCATGACCGTCACACTGTCTGTCGCTCTGCACCTTCCTCCGCCCCCCTCTCACCCGTCAGATCACAAGGAGAAAAGAACCAAAGAGAAGGGGTGTGCAGAGCAAAACTTGGGCAACTTGTGCAGAAGGTTGTGGGATGGTTTTGTAAGAAAATGATTTTTGCAATGGGTATTCTCTGACGGGTGGTCTTTGTCCATTTTTGGGGGTTTTGAATCGGAGGGCGGAGTCTGGCTTCTGGGGCTGAGGGGGGTGCTGGCCCTTCAACTGCGGATGGAAACAAGGTGCGGGCGCGCGCGCCCACACACACACACAACACACACATGATATGCACATGTAGCCAGTAGCTGAGTCCAGTTTGCAAAAAAAATGCGGGCTGGTTCTGACATGTCCTGACAGCCGCACCCCGATGTCTTTCAATCCAGAATGTTTGTTGAACGCTTGATGATGCAATCCACGCTGCATGCTATTCTCTGGTCTCTTTACTTTAGTAACAAGGGCATCACTACTGGGAGCAAGAAGCTACTAGGGGCTCCTGGCCTTACTAGGAGCAGGAAGCTACTAAGGGCATCGCTACTAGGAAGAAAAGGGTATCTTTTTGTCTGGCCTTTTCTCGCCTGGTGCTTTGGACTCCCAGGACCGGTTCCTTTGGAACCTGCGGATCTCGGACCAGAAGGACTCGGATCTTTGACTCGATGGACCTGATGCCTCCAGGTTGCTAGTAGCGTCCTTGCTCCTAGTAGTAAGGCCAGGAGCACCTAGTAGCTTCTTGCTCCGTTCGTAGCGATGCCAGGAGTAGAGTGAGCACCCTGGACATCCGACCCTTTTATGCCGATCAGTCATCGTCTCCGAATCCTTTCCTGGTACCCAATTTCAAATGGGACTGGCCGACCGCTGCGATCCTTCTTGGAAAAATTCAAGCCGGCCCAAACATGGATTTGGATCCAAGATGATCCAAGTAGTTGACACTTACGTCAACGACAAACCGTCGAAGCCGTCCTCCAACAAAGAACTCACACATTCAAGACTAGTCAAAGTGTACAGTATGACGGTATGACGCATGATTTGTAAACAGTTGGCAGGACGAGAAGCTCGCTCTTACAGGGACAAAAATGTGAGGTGACAGGCAACATGTTTGCGGAAAGACTCATTGGCGTTGCTGCTCCGCTCCAGAATGCCGTCTCCACCACTGCTAATTTGCCTGCAGTCTTGATGCGGCGCTTCGGTTTTGTGGTTGCCTGCTTGCTACCTGCCACTGTTTCTGCAAAGGTCTCAAAGAAAACACAGTGCCCCCTTCTGACATGAAAAGAACTATAACTCCCCTCCGGATGCCACTCGGATGTCTTGGCAAAGGGTTCCATACCTTAGAGCAGCCTAACTGATGCGACACGTCCGCGCGTTCGAATCGTTGGCACCTGCTGCTCCGTGAGCTGATCGAGCCGCTGTCGTGTGCGGATCAGCTCCTCCTGCACTCTTCGACTCAACTCTCGTCGACTCGATCCAAAGCGAGTTGATCGATTGAGTCAAGTGTGTTGTTCTTTTTGAGTCAAGGGTGTCTCGTGCACGCGGATGCTGCACTTCTTCAGTTCCAAGAAGACATTGTCTAAGCGTCTCCTTAAAGGCTAGACCGACTCTTTGGCTGGAGATGGTTTTCACGTCCAGAAACACCTTGTTCTTCCCCACGTACCCAGCTGCATGCAGGACATCCGCAATTAAGCCGTTCAGAAACTAATGGTCAAGGTTATTGTTTGCTTTTTGGGGTTGCATGACGAGGTACAACTATTCATCTCCACACCCTCGTGCAGTCCCAGAAGTCAAACTAGGGCGCTATGAGCTATTTACTTTTTACCTGCAAGGGCTATTGCTTCAAGCCGCTGGTGGGATCTCGCAGATTTTCAGTTCGGACGGTGGTTACAACCATCATAAGTCCTCCTACCAACGCGTTCCCGGTACAACAATATAAAAGCACTGGTGCAGTTTCCTTTGCAGTGTGGAGAGTGAATTGAGAGCCCAATGGCAGTGGTCGCTAAAGAAGCACTTCGCCCTTCGTAATTTCTGGCGATGCACAACACAAGGCCGTTGCTTCCTCAAGAATGCGTTAATCAAATAAATGTCTTGCCCCCACCCGCTTCAAGAGAAGGCTCCTCTTTAAGCATCTTAGGCCGGCGTTCACCGGGTTGTGTGTTGCATAACGTGGGAACTTTAATTGTTCTACCAAGTGCGGGCCCAGCCTCTACAAAGTTCCAGAAACGCGACTGGTTTCTGATCAGCCATGCCTGCTACAAACGGGGAGAAACTGCAATCCTCATAGAATCGTGGAAGTGAGATGAAGTGAGCAAATCAGGCATGCAAGAAAGGACTCTCTGATGCGTGACACTTAGACCGGTCCAAGCCACCAGACTCCAACTGCAATGGCGTTAGTACAGTAGGTAGCCTAGAAATGCATAGAAACGCCTAAACTACAGAATGATGCTTTCAAGGCGATCCAATTCCTTCGCCTGGTCATGGCAGAGTTTCGCCATATCCATGGCACGGGCATTTCCACGCAAACGGAGGCAGCCCATCAAGAACTCCTGCAGATCTGCGCTTGGTTGAGCTTGGTGGGGAATGTTCAAATACCTTCGTCTACATCTGTACACCCATGCGCCCGCAAGCACATTGATATGCACCTGCAAGTGCAAATGTCAATGTGATGCATGGTTCTTCGTAGTTTCCTTGCAGCATATGTCGAGTGGCGGCTTGTTTTCGAGGTTAATCTGGATTCGGGATTGGCTCACCATGTTCTTACAATGTTAACTGGGTCCGGAAGTGGCTTTGAAGAGAGAGTGGATAAATGCAGCTGGGCCAACAAAGGCATGCAGTCCCACGCCTCCACCTCAATGGCACCCCCTGTCAGAGAAAATTCAGTTTGCATCCACGTGCGTCTGTCGCACTTGAACTCTTCAACAGCCTGTCAGCAGCTTCCGCACCTGAATCCAGATCTAAAAGTTTGAAGAATGACCATGCCTCAGATAACGCCCTGGGCGTCTGTCACTGACAACACTGCTTCTGTGATGGGCCAGGAGCGATGGCCTCCAACCTAGTAGTGATGGCCTCCAACCTAGTAGCGATGGCCTCCAACGGCCTCCAACGGCCTCCAACCTAACAGCGATGGCCTCCAACGTGGTGGCAATGGCCTCCAACCTAGTAGCAAAGGCCCACAAACAAGTAGCGCTAGCCTCCAACCTAGTAGCCATGGCCTCCAACGGCCTCCAACGCAACAACGATGGCCTCCAACCTAGTAGTAGCGGCAGCGATAGCCTCCAACCTAAAAGCGAAGGCCTCCAACCTCCAAGCGATGCGATGGTCTCCAACCTAGTAGCGATGGCCTTCCAAAAACATGTGGGCTATGCCACTCAGGCGCTCGAGGGACTTCGCTCACTGCCGTCGAAGTTTCCACTCGTGGGGGCCCTTTCGGGATCATGTTGTATTCAGACGATGCCATGTCCGTCCTGTCGAGCACGTCCCAAAGCAGTCAAATGCAGCTGCCGGTGTCTCTGCCCAAACTTGGAGTGACTTAATCAACTTTGACGTTGGCTCTGCAATTGGAATGAGCTCCACCAAGCCCTCCACCATCCCTCATTTCTTTTTGCCACCCTCACAAGCCAAGGCCATGGACCTTCGCCAACTCCGCTCCAAGGCACAGGACTTGCTTGCTCAGGTCAGTGGACTGACATCCAAGCTGATCGTGGCCTCTGCGACTTTATGGCCCATCATTGCATTCAATGTGGCAAGTGCTGCGCTAGTAGTCGTGAACTTGCTATTCACCTCAGAGATGAACACCCGCAAGTTCTTCTACCGGGGATTGACAAGATGATGAGACTTCACCGTGAGCTTGTTGCGCGCACCCCATCCCCTTTCTGTCATCTTCCCTGGAGTCGACAGCATGGCTGCCCCATCCTGCATTGCCATTTGTGTCAGCAGCGGTTCTCCACTCGTGCCTCCCTCACCCTCCACATGCAAGAGCATCAACGGACTCTTCATCGTTTCGATCCTCTTCGTGACTCTGTCGAGGAGTCGAGGGTGAACCGGCATGCTCGCATTTCCTCTCTACCACATTGGTCCTACCCTCAGATCCGCCTTGCAAAGTGGCAAGATTGGACCATACCTAGCTCGAGCACGGACGCAACTGACACATCATCAACGCCTGCGTTGCGGTATTTCCTTTGAGGGTTCCCGTGACCTTTCTCGGCGCCCACCCACCTCAAAACAGGTGATTTTCCCGCTCACTGGGTGTGTTTGCAGCCCTGGCCGTCCAACACCATCAGCACCACTGTGTGGGCTTTAGCCAGCTTGCTATGACTCACATGCGCATCAATGACACGGCGCTGGTGCCTTTGGGCGCTTGACTCTGACATGCTCAGGCTCCTCCTGCCTGCGGACTACCTGGTCGAGCCCTTGGCTTCCGAACTGCCACGCCGGCTTGTTGATCGTGAGTTCAATAGACTTTGGCAAAGTGAGACTCTTGTTCAGCTTTTGTGTGGGCGATGCATGATGTGTGGGGACACAATGGGCGGTAGTGATCTCCAACTTCACCTCCTTTCCTTTCATCATTGTCAAGAACGAGGTCTCATGATGTTTGTACCCCAGATCCTTAGATTGCTGGAGCCGCCCCTGGACTGTGAGAATGGTTGCCAGGTTTTGCGGACTTGCTTGCATGGATGCTCAAGCTCATTTGCTGGCCTGTCCCACCCTAATTTCCCACTGCATCAACGCCTTCAGTTCGGACCTGATGGAGGACAATTTCACGGCTCAATCATTGGAGGGGCTCCAATGCTGGGGACAGTCGTCGGCCAGAGAAAATGACCAGGTGACCGAGGACAAAGATCCGCCAACCTAGTCTTGCGCCACGAGCAGGGCCTTCAACAGATGGGGGGGCTCTTCTTGGTGTCAAGTCCAGAAGGATGTGCCCCATTACTTCACCAAGCCTCAAGGAATGGTCGGATGCGAGCCCACCTGGTCCTGCAAATGCTAAGGGGGCTTCAAAGGCGCCTCTTGAAGCTGATGTCTGGGGGAGATCAATTGTCCGATTCGAGCCCAGCTCGTCAAGAAGGGGGTGATGCTGGAAGACCGCACTTGGCCTTTCCTTCAGTGGCACTCCCGAGACAAGCAATTGGTGCTTAACAAGACCAAGCCATCAATGTCCCTGCCAGTCCCAGGAGCTGCTCGAGGAGTTGTTGAGCCTGCTCAAGGGGGAGGATGCGTTCCAGAAATTTCACGCCCTCAGGAAGGGAAGAGTCAGCCATGGAAGTTGCAAATCGGCCTTAGACAGGCAGCCTTTGGCAGATACTGGGCGTTCAGCTCAAACCACACTCCCAGCGACAGCCACTGGGAGCCAAGCTGCAGATGATGAAGCAACTGTAGGCACCCTGCCTCCTAGCTTGATTCAGAAGCAGCTGCTAAATTTGAGGTTGAGCAACCCTTCCAATCACTGCTTCATCAATGCATCCATGGTTGCCATGATGTGGGCAAGCCTACAGCGCCGGCACTTTGCCATGACAGATTGGGGTATGCTTCAGGACGGCCTGAGTCTTCTTTTGAAAAGGGGTGAAAAGCCCACGCTGGTTCAGTGGATGCTGTTCTTTGAGCAGAAGCTGCCCGGATGGGATGGCTCTGCCCAATGTGACGCTGCGGAGTTCACTCTAGCTTTGATGGCTCAGATGGACCCCTCTGTGTTTCATGGTTTGTGGGAACGCCGCTACCAGCGTGAGAATGGCTTTGTCAAAAGATACGGTCGTGAGGTTGGTGCATTTGCTTTGAGACTCACTGTAATGCCACAGCTGCACTGCGAATGGCATCAGCTAGTGGAGAACTGGACTCATGACTCGGGCATGGTGGCCGCTTACGTTCACCTCCCCATGTTGATTTGCATCCAGCTTGGCCGAGCGCACCCAATCCCAGTCTCCATCGTGTCCTTCGATCTCTCGTTTCGGCTGCCACGTTTCTCAGGCGATGAGCTGCACCTTGAATACTTTGACTACCAGGTAGTTGCCGCTTGTACGCATTTAGGCAAGTCGGGAGCTGGACATTACCGAGCTGCGTTGCTGCTCTGCGACGATGGAGAGCAGCCCACCAAGATCCACACGATCCCGTGCTGGTTCTCGACCCAGGTGTGTCTTTTGTGGGCAGTGAGGATCAGTGCCAAGAGCCCACTGGCCCACTGTCCTGTCCAAGCCGCCGTTGTGGTTTTTAGCAGGTTGTGGTTTTCCATTCCAGCTTCACCTTCATGGTGATTTTGAAGCACCAAAGCCTTCTACAAGAAGCCGTGGCATGTGCCACGTTAGGGTACGCGCAAAGGCGCTTGGCACCTTGGCGTCCAAAAGGCCAAAAAAGGCAACCTAAGAGCGATGGTCTCCAACCTACTACCGATGGCCTCCAACCTCTTAGCGATGGCCTCCAACCATTTCTTCTTTTACTGGAAGCATAGTGCAACGACGGCGGATTACACAGGCCAAGGCGCATCCCAAATATCCAGGTCAATGGACTCGAAATACCTGGTTTGGCGATCTCTGTTCCGGTGCTCTGTGGCGATGTGCTTTTTGCCGCTGTGGGACCGAACAGCTGCGGCTTTATGCGGTCCATGTTTGAGTGGCGAACAGCTGATGTGCAGTGTGTTCAAAAGGATGTGAACATCACTCACAAGCCCTTAGACCTCACGCTCCCAATACATCTGCTGTCCTTGCGTGTGTACGTCTCATACTCGAGCTACAAGCAAGGCGACACAACACGAGACAACGTGTTAACAATAAGACCAACAAAAAAGAAACAATAACAACAAAAACAACACGACGCATGGGAGACCTACAAGGACCTTAACTTGTTACAAGTTGCGTCTGCACTTCCTTGGTGCCAACTTTGTCCTGAAACATCCTCAGAGCTCAGGATTGAACTCATGATGTAGATGTATGTCCATTGCTTGCAAGATGTGAATGGAAACACATGCAACCCGTAAAACACCTTCCTTTGAGGATACAACCTGGTCCGCAATCTTTGACGCATTCGTGATTCTGCTGCTGCTGCTGCTGCTGCTAGTAGATTCACAAAGTGCTATGCACAAAAAACATAATGCACAATTTGAGAGCGACAATCATTGAGCTTTCACAGGTCCAACTATTCCAAAACGGGAAGGAGCAAATCAAAATGATACGCATGCTGCATACCCATCAAAAATCTTGAGATGCACTCTAGACCACTAAAGACAACAAGGAAGATGAGAAAAATCGCGCTCTATATATATATATAGAGCACGTGATAAATTGTCCAAATCAAAGTGCCATCCGCAAACAAGCGTCTGGTAAGTGATGACGCCGACCTCTTCTGCATCAATCTCATTGAACCTCGCCACGTGAGATTGAAACACTCCCGGATGAGCGACTTTCCTTCAGTCGATGCTATTGTGCCATTGCTGCTGAGGAACAAGTATCGGATCTTTTCAATATGAGCCTGCTTGTTTGCCAGGATTGACTGGAGAACAGCGTCGTGGTCGCTCTGCGCTGAGTCTATTGCACTCCTTAATTGAGTGGTGACACCATGTCTGAAAACTTGCGCGCCCCAACAAACAAGCACACAAACAAACAAACAAACAAACAAACAAAAACAATCAAACAAACAAAAAAAGAAACAATCAAACAAACAAACAAACAAAAGGCATACTAAATTGTTGAGATGCTGACAAAATACCCCCGTAACGACGTTCAGGACTGCGAAGTACCTTATTGGCAAGCAAGTCTCTCCTCCAGAGTTGGGGCCCTACTGCGGCGACCCGTTGCAAAAGGCTGGGGTCGGCCTTAAGTCTCTTCATTTGGTTGGTTTGCTGTCGTTCTTGCTGTCCTGTGTTGCTGTGCTTCTTTTGTTTCCGATCGACAAACGCAATGAAAAGGATTTGTTCCCCCATTGAAGGCAAACAAACGAACGAAAATAAGAGAATCGGCAAAGAGGCAAAAGGGCAGGAAAGCAAAAGCAGAAATGCAGAGAAGCAAGAAAGCGGAAAAGCAAAGAAGTAGAAAAGCGTAGAAAAAGAAGAACAGCAAAGGCAGCAGAAAGGCAATCTCAAATCAAACAAAAATGCAGAAAAGCAGAGAAGCAGAAAAGAAATTGCCGAAAAAACGAAGGAATCCAAAAGAAAATCCCGAACCCAACAGAACAAGCCCGGAAACATGACTCTCCATTGTCAAAAACATGTCAACATATTGTTCCAAGCCAAGCCCTGTATCGACACTGTTTCCAAACACCCCTGGTCGCTTACCTTGAGGAAACACACGTCATGTTCATGCACAGCCCCACCCAGCGGCATGTACGCAGGTCCTCCTTGTGCGACTCTTCACATAAACTTTTACTTGTCTTTGTCCGACAGTACTACTAGTAACAAGAAGCAATTTTGTTACTAGTAGCTTCTTGCTCCTAGTAGCGATGCCCTTGTTACTAGTAGCTTCCAGCCGCTAGTAGGCTTCGCATAAACGTTTGCTTGTCTTTGTCCGACTACCAGATTTGGGTTTCATGATGACAATGACTCGGAGTCATTGGGTTGCTTCTGCAAACTGCTCAAGTGACCCCCAGTAGTGTCTTTCTTAAATCCCTTTGCACTTAGAGCTCTAATCCTGCAGGGACGCTGTGTCGAAGATTTGAGCCCCTAGGGATCCAGTCGTACCTTCTCAAAGGTACGACTGGACCCTCCAAACCTACAGTATCTCCAATCACCATACCACAGAGGGTGACTTTGTCCCTTCACTGGGCTTTCTGTCCCATCCCGTGTCTGTTTCTCTGTCGTTTTTTATCCTTTCCTGTTCTTTTACATTGCACATCGCTATAGCAATTTGCTTTAGCAATGTGCATTGGCAATCTGTAGATTTACATCTTAGCCTCTTCTCGTCGCTAAACTTGCCTCCTTCGAACTCCTTCGAACCCCTTCGCCCTCGCGTGCGCCCTCACTTGCGCCTGTTCGCTTCCAAGCGACGTGAAGGAGATGTAGCAAAGGAAGACCCAAATCCAAACAGTCGAAATTGCATGCAAGGGCAGCAGCAGCTGTCCCCAGCTCACACCACCCGCAATGCTCATGAAGAGGCTCAGCATGGAAATCCTAAGCGCACGGGGATATTTCAGGGGTCACGCATTGATGCGTGAGAAGCACTTGTGGGCTCTTTTGCCTTGACTTGCCCTCCCCTTTCCCTGTGGCCTATCCAAAAGCATGAGTTCCTTGAGTCCTTAAAGGACTTGGAGCAGGTCGCACAGATTGGACCATCCGTGCTCTGGTTACCAGGTTACCATCGCTTTCCCACTTTGTCAGTGGAGCTTTTCTTGATCTTCACTTCGAGGCACCAGGCCAACTCAAGACTGATGGGAACAAAGCAAGCTTTGGAGGCCATCGCTAGTAGGTTGGAGGCCATTGCTATTAGGTTCCTTGAAGTCTGTTTTTATACCTAAGCCTACCTAAGCTATTTGGTTGCTATTTCATCAATTGGAGCCACTCTCCTTTGGGCCAAGGAATCTTCCTGCTACCAACAAGGCCCCACTTGACCGACCTGAAGGTGGTGCGTAAGACCAATAGGGCTGTAGCTACCCCGCTGCCCAAATAACGTCCAGGAGCCACAAACTACGGAAGTAGAGATCCTTCGCGGCCAACTCCTGTCTTCTGTCAGGGTAACTTCTGCCAACATTAAGGTTTCTAATCAGTGTCGATGCGTGGGCCATCAACAGGATCACCACAGAGCTGCAGACTGAGATCAGAATGGAATCAGTTTCATTCGGATCGGTGCTCACCACTTGGAATGAAAGGCGTCACTGCTTGCAAAACGGTCCTCATCCGTCAGTGAGACGTGGGGATCGCTCTCATAATCCTTCAATGCCTGGAGCCACAGCAGATTTCCAAAAGAAAGGATTTGCCCTTACAATAAACTCAAAAGTCAACTGGGGCAGCACGAGATAACGTCCGATCCAAAGGCTAGTATTGCTGGGACTGCTTCCGCACAGCTTCTGCGCATTGCGGATCCTGAAGGAAAAGTATCCCAAAGATGTACACGATCAGAAAGAGCAAGAAGATAGCCTGATTGGACTCTGTTTGGGAGCTCACTTGGCTCCGAGTCACACACACACACACACACACACACACTTCAGAAGTAAAACATCTTGGATTGTTTACATGAAGTGGACTCGTGACATAGGAAGCTTGTGTGACATGGCACAGTGCAAGTACCCTCTGATCATGTCACGAAAATAAACACCAGCAGGGTAGTTCATTCATCTTCTCCTGCGCCAAGTCACCCATATCAAAGATTTCCTCAGAGAGGATCGCAATGCTGCGCAATGAGTGTCAAAAAGGAATCGGGGATCAAGAGCGGCCTAAAGTCCTAAAGGTGGTCTCAATCCCGATCTGTCCGTATCCCTTCTTCCCTTTCCCTCCTGGCCCCTGCCTCTGCCCCCTTTCGCACAAAGCGTTCAACTTTGGGTGAAAGCCCAATGTTGAAGGCATTGCTGACAGTCCCTCGGCACCCACCTCGCGGAACATCGTATGATACAGAGTGGTGTAAACAGGATAAGTTTTTTCTAGCGCCAAGCAAGGAGTGTGCCAGAGCGCGGCACAACAAGCGTTCCCTTGTTCGGGTTCAATAAATTGACATAGTATGAGGTGACACGACGCTCGGGGACAGGCATTTGTCCTTTGAAATGTAATGACTGTGTAAGCCCGCAGGCTGATGGGGCAGCGCCCTGCTTTTCCAGAGAATGATTGATTCTTGTTTTCCTCAAAATGGATATGCTCGGTTCCTGGCGGCATTTTGGAGCATTCGTATGTCTTGGAGGCTTGGCTCTTGGGGCGGGCTGTGCCCGAGACAATGGAATGTGTCTTTCACCGTTTCAGTCCACTCTCGGCCTCCCTTGCCTTCGATATGGTGGTTTTCGTGGGATGCAAGTTTGGTTTTCAAAAATGACCTGTCGGAGAGGATCGTTTGCATCTGCTCGGAGAATGTGGCCTAATAGACTTAACTTATCTTCCTCTGCCTCCAAAAGTCTGAGAGTTTTTGAGTTTGCGCTCTATCTATGAAAGTGGATGGTATTTTGAGAATTCGTCTCAGTCCCTTCATCTGAAAAGCCTCTAGTTTGTTTAGCTCATTTTGAGTGAGTTGGATCACTTCCAGGCTGTACGTAAGTTTTTATTGTATGATTGCTTTGAACACAGGCAGTTTCCAATTTGTAGTGGTATTCGCCTTGTCCCAGAAGATCTTGAGTTGTCTGAAAGTTTTCATGGTCATGGCAATTCTGTTGTTTAATTTCTGCTGTGTTACTCACCGTATCTGTCAATAACGATCCTAGGTATATTGCACGACTGTCTCGTGGGACCTTAGTTCCATCTAGATTCGGATAAGCTTAGTTTTAGTTACGACTGTTTCAGTGCAAAGTGGAGTCAATGGTAGATATGTCGCGCTTGCGTCGCCAAAGGAAGGATACCTGGACTGCACTGCTTCCTGGATGCTGTGCAATAAGTTTGAGCCTCACGCACCTCATTCCTCCATGGCCAGCTCGGGTAAGCCTATTATAATTAAGCTTGAACTATAACTATGACTATGACACTGTGGGACAGCGGAGGATGGAAAACCATGTTTGACAATATTTATCTGCTTATATACATGTCTGGGTCTCGAGTGCCAACGTAGGAAGCCTCTAACCGAGGAAACTCAAGTTGTCAGGGCTGCCCGTAGCATCCCTATCCGCCAAGCATCAAAGTGTAGATGATTGACTGGGTCAAAGTACGCAAAGCCATCACGAAACGGAGAATCCGTGCAACCCGAGCCAACTTCACCTAGTCACTTGCAGGCATGGCCACAAATCATAGAAGGTGCAGCAATGGCATGAAGCTTTGACAAGAAGGTTGGGAAGGAAAAGAACGACAAAAACACAAACTAGTCACCCAACCACAAAGACAACTAGTCACCCAACCACAAAGACTGCTCCAGCAACCAAAGGACCACAACAACTACAAAAACACAAACGACCAAGACAAATCAAAGCAGCCAGAGTGTCACCCGGCTGCTACTATGTAGGGACCCGGGAAAGCTCACACTTCTTGCAAGGAACCTCCCTCTGCCTGAGGGTGGGGGGAGCTTCGCTGAAGAAACGTCGCACTATTCCTGTGGTTCCTAGAATTTAAGGGCACTTGCCTAAATTGGTTCATGGAGGCCATCGCTATTAGGTTGGAGGCCATCGCTATTAGTAGCTCAACAGAGTTTTTACAAAAGCCCAGGAGACACCTGGAAACACAAACCCATCAAAAGTCTAGCTTGAAACAAAAATTTGCAACACAAGCAAGTCTCCTTGTCCTCTAATATTGGGAACATACAGTAAAAGAGAACCGCAAGGAGCATTGGGGTCCTGAAAGGCCAGTGTTTTTTTCGGCCATGGGATAAAGGGGACCACGCCATACCATGCCCCTCCCACATCTGATTCCCTGACCAGCCGGGTGATCCGCAAGATCCTCAATGCACGAAGCCCGGTGAGGCCCACCACGTTGTCCATACCTCCTTCAAACACAACTCCAACACCAAAGAACCAATCTGAAACAAAATCAATGGGTTCGCATGACCTCTAAGTTCGAAATCATATTGTGGCAAGTCTAGCGGTTCCGCGGTTGGGGTCAGAATCTCTTCCATACGCACATGTGGCTCGCTTGCATGCCCCCCGAATGGATCTGGGTAAAGTACTTGTAAACGGCTCATTAGCCCTTCACTACAGCTAGATGGTTTGCGGTTTGGCCCTACCTACCTACCTACCTGCCTACCATAAACCATATTCACCTTGGAGACACAGAACCTTAGCCTTGTGCAAACAACTCCAATAGTTAGCCGATGATGCTTGTAGCTTTATCAAAGCGTGGCTCACATTTGCACAACACTAGCGCACCCAAGAACACCGAACTTCACCTTGCCTGCACTATCTGTGCTGGTGATGTAGAGCAACTCAAGGCCAATTTCCTGCGTTTGGTCTTGGTCACACTCACTTCCAACAAACCCATCAGTTTGCAAAGGGTACGTTCTGTGCCGGCACTTCTGTTGGGCAGGATAGACCAGGTTGACTGAACAACATGAATATGCCTCTGCAACCTTGGCGCTCATTGCGAGCAATAGCAGCTTCAGCCCTCCTGGTCGTCGCAGTAGTAGCGGTGGCAGGGTGGCAGCAGCAGTGGCAGTAGCACTGGCACTAGCACTGGCAGCAGCAGTGGCAGTAGAAGTAGTAGTCGTCGTCGCCGTCTTCACAGTGGCAACAGCAGCAGCAGCAGCAGCAGCCGTCCTAGCACTAGTACTAGCACAAAGTTTTAGTAAGGAAGAAAGTAATATGCCCTCCAAGAAGCACTCTTAGATATGGAGGTGTTCATGGTCAAGTCTTCACAAATCAAAAAGCTTCTGAAGCAGTTCCAGGAGTCCCACCACGAGCTCAGCCTGACAAGTTGCTGGCCCACGTGGTCATGCTACTGTGCAATCCTATCCACTCCCTCCAGTGGCCAGGTTAGTCTCTAGTTGAACCCATGCAACACACATGATTGTCATTTCATGGAAGTTTGGTTCGTCGTATTCAAAAATGCTGCTGCTTGCAGCCCAGGAGTCTACTCACAGGCGAAGAAGGTCAGTCTGACTGTGTGTTTGCTGTGGGCTGGAGGATCTGAAAAGAGCTAGCAGTGTAAACTTAGGGTGCTTTCTCAGGTCTTTTAAGAAGTTCGCAGGGCTTGTCCCATTGTGGGTTTTCTTCAATGCTGCCCAGCTGCACGATGAAAATATCCAGCATATTCCAGCGAGAATCCTCTGCGCAAAAGAAGCCACAACAGCCATCGGCTGCCAGGCGCATGAAAAGCTCCAGCGTGAAGAGCCCGCTGAAAAAGTACCGAGTGACCTCAGGCAACTGAGACCAAAAGAAAGGCAACAAAGTGAGCTCGACAAGCAACACAGGTCAATTTGACGTATCGCACTATATATACGTATCTTGTGGTTCAGGGTGTTCCTGTTCATATCCATAGTAGGAAGCATTGCAAAGAAAGCATTCTTGTCACAATGGGCAAAGGGTGCACAAGTGCAAGGCCTTAGGCAAGCGAAATGGCCATCGCTATTAGGTTGAAGGCCATCGCTACTAGGTTGGAGGCCATCACTATATCCCTATTAGGTTGGAGGCCATCGCTATTAGGTTGGAGGCCATCCCTAATAGGTTGGAGGCCATCGCGTTGAACGCCATCGCTATTGCCATCCCTATTAGGTTGGAGGCCACCGCTAGTTGGTTGGAGGCGGCCATCGCTATTATTAGGTTGGAGGGCATGGCTATTAGGTTGGAGGCCATCGCTATTAGGATGGAGGCCATCGCTATTAGGTTGGAGGCCATCTCTAGCTCTAGTAGGTTGGAGGCCATCGCTATTAGGTTGGAGGCCATCGCTAGTAGGTTGGAGGCCATCCCTGGGCCATCCCTATTAGGTTGGAGGCCGTCGCTAGTAGGCCTAGGCTGGAGGCCATCGCTATTTCATTAGGTCGCTATTAGGTTGGAGGCCATCGCTACTAGGGTGGAGGCATCGCTACTAGGTTGGAGCCAACGCTCGTGGGTTGGAGGCCAGAAATGGCCTTGTGCAAAGGCTTAACAAGTATCAACTGCATTGACAGATAGCTAGGCAGAACCCAATGACCCTGGGGAATTTAAGGTCTTGTATGTAGTACAAAAAGGTCAATTAATTGCGGAATTATGTTTCTTCTACAGCACTAGTAGCTAGTAATTAGTCTGTAGCTAGTAATTAGGTTGGAGGCCATTGCTTCTAGGTTGGAGGCCATCACTAATTGCAACTAAGACAAAGGAAAAGGAAGAAAAGTCTAAGTACTATAATATATTCTTCAAGTCTCCTCACTGGACAAGTTTCACTTGTCCCGCACCCATCTCACATCATCCCCTGCGCTCAAGCCCGGCCTGAATCCAGAGGTGCTCTACAACGCCTGGTTGGGACAACTCCACCTCTGCACCGATGAACACCTCTAGTGGCAGGGGGCTACCGAGAGTTGGGCAGCAGGGGCGGAGTTTGATGTTTCGTTGCAAAAGATTCACCGGTGATCGCGCAATGATCGCGGTCTCCCGTTCCAAAAGCGCTTATCAGTCGGTATCCAATCCTTCACCCCGTGAATTACAAACGTGCTCGCGAGCTTGTTTGATAATCAACCGTGTGAGCACCAGAATTGAGCACCCCTTGAATCACAAATTAACCTCTGGCCGTGCCACGGTGTTCACCAGAATTGCCGTGGCCTCGGTGGCTTTGCATGAATGAAGGCAGAGCTGCTCGAGCAAACGAAGGTTCACAGCACATCTGTTGCTCACTGGTTACGGCACATCATGCCTTTGAACCTCGCACCTTCACATTGTCAGCTTTCTCTACATCGCTACTAGGTTGGAGGCCCTCGCTATTATTAGGTTGGAGGGCCATCGCTACGAGGTTGGAGGCCATTGCTACTACAGGTTAGGATGGAGGCCATCGCCTTTGGGGTTGGGGGTGCTGTTCAGAATCTGCTTGCGTCTCAAGTCAACCCAAGTCAATCCAAATAAACATGTGGGTTGTTAACCCCGGAGTTTGCCTCACCAAGCTGCAAAACAGAGATCGAAAAAAGGGGAATGGACTGTTTGATGCAACCAACTCCTGCCAAACACATAGGTGAGCTTCAAGTTCTTTGTTCTGGAAGACTATTTCACCAAACTTCTTGATGCTCCAGTGAAGACATGCATGCTGCATACTGCAGAAGTCCCATCATTGAGGATCAGAATCAACAGATTCAGTCCTTGGTTGGTTGATGCTTTGCGTTCTGTCTGTCACCATTGCATCCTTCTTCGCCTGCGGGCTTCATGCTGTTGCGCTCAGTCTGTCTTAGAAGGGCCTTGACTCTTATTACTCTCATGACTTCTGGTAGTTCACAAAACTGCCACTTGCAAGTCCGGGGCCCGAGCCCTTCTGCATCCTTGCTACTAGTAAGCAGCTTGCTCGCTACTATTTCTTACCTCTCCTACCTCCCGTTCCCACGATGGTCTCTCAACCAAATAGCGATGGCCTCCAACCTACTTGCGATGGCCTCCCTCCAACCTACTTTGCGATGGCCTCCCTCCAACCCACTTGTCCCTCCAACCCACTTGCGATGCCCTCCGGCCTTCAACCTAGTAGCGATGGCCTCCACCCTAGTAGCGATGGCCTCCAACC